CCCCAAAACCCCAAAACCCCAAAACCCCAAAACCCCATAATTTTCTATGAAGTTGAGATGGGTATTAATAAATATTTAAATTAAAAATTATAAAAATAAATATGACACCACAAGTCTTGCTTGATGTAGAGTCTTGTAAGAGATATTGGGAATTACTATATTATGAGGAACAAAAGGTAAGTTTTGAGACAAAACTGAGAGAGGAGGAAGACTCAAAAAGATGTTTGTTTGAATATTTAGAGTAAATTTAGATATTTTAGAGTAAAAGTAGATAGCTCAGAAATTGTGTTTAGTTATTATCTTTGCTTTGAGTATGCATTTTATTGAATAAAGCTTCAGCCAACTCTCTTCTGTTTGCCATTAACTCTTGCATCTCTTTTACAGATTATTTGGGTTTCATTATGATGCTGCTAATATTTTTATAGATTAATCTTTCCTTTAAGCAAATTCAAAATAGTAAAAATGCTGAATTGTACTGACTCTGATGAGCAATGGGCATATTTTGCTCAAGATTGTTTTTCTGAGGGGAATAACTTAACCCTTAGTGCTTATAAAGTGTTATTAAGATTTAATTTAGCATATGTGGATCAATTTCTTTGATTATTAACTTTTGCTTTTGCTGGATTATTCTATTACGAATATATTTGCTGTAATTCACAACTCATTATTCATATTTTATGTTGTATTTAAGTTAATTTAATTTTCAAACCCTCTTTGCCTTCATTAAAAATCCATTACTACACGAATTAATTCCCAAACCCAAATCCTTCCGCACGATTTCCATTCTAGCCCACGAAGAAGCCTTCAGATCTGAACGTAGCTTATACTTGTTATAGGGAGAAGAGACAGAGGATAGTAGGCTTTGAAGATTAATAATGGAAAGTTGACAGAAGATCCAAGCTAAAGATAAAGGAGTAGTGGTCAGGTAGGATTGAATAGGAAGAAAGGGAATAAGAGGAGGGGTGGATGCGGATAGGCTTATGAGCTTGGTTAACTTTAAATAGCCTCTATTTCAGAATGAACCAGAGGACTGTTGGGCAAATCAACCAATTACTTACCGAAACAGAAGTTAAAACTAAATATAATTCAGAAGATAACCAAGGTATCTAAAACACTTAAATGTTAGCAAATAACCAAAGCAAAATAAATATCCTTGTTGGTCCTCAATGCTTGTTCTTCGAACTTGGAAATATTTATAATGGCGATAATGAGATTATTGTCTTTTCAAACAACCAAAATTTCTTCCAGAAAGAATTCATTCAAAGATTTACCAGAATGAATAATAAACAAGGGGATATTGATCTGAAACAAAGAAAAGTTGAATGATTATTTGAAGAAATTGGAGCTATCAATTTAGACAAAATATTCAAGAATAATCAAGAAGCTAGCACTAATGCTTCCATAAGCACAGATGTTGAAGAGAGTAAGTCTCAAAAATCCAATGAGCAATCAAATACCAGCAACACAAGTCATGCACCAAATAAAGTCTCTGAATATGGGAAATCCTCTGAAACCCACTCAACACTTGATTTAGACAATGTTGAAGATATTAAAAAAACTCTTCCTGAATTCTTAGAGAAAATTACAAACTACTTTAATAGGCAAAATGAATACGATATGATGAGTTTCTTGAAAGCACTTGATAATTTAGTTACACAACATTTAAATAAACTAGAAAAGAAATGGAGAATTACTATAAATAAGGAAGAGAAAGAAAACTACTTTATTTATATTCGAGATTACCTTTGTGAAAATGAAATAACAACTGGTGAATCACTCATGCAATTATTCATCTTCAAATCAAAAGCCTCAATAGAAGAAATAAAGAAAAACAATACTGTAAAAATTGACACCTCCAATATCAAAACTCTGATCTCTGATCTAAAACCAGATATACCCAAATCTTCCCTAAAAGGCCATGAATTATTAGATAAAATTGAATATTACGCTTCCGTATGATATACAATTATCCTAAATTTGTTGAGTAATGACCTCTCTAAGTCAGACAAACCCATCACTTCAGTAAAGAGCTTGATAAATACCATTTACCACGTGCTCAAAAGTTATTACAACAGTAAATAAAGTAAAGAAGGAACATAAGAGGATAATCAAGAAGGATAAAAGATTGAAGTATATTATTTGAGAGTTATTAAAACAGCGAGGAGTATGGGAAAATTTAGACTCAGAGGGAGCAGAAATAAACCACACTCGATGACAAGCTTTCCTGAATGATTTCAGTAAATATGAGACTAAGAAAATTTTATCTGAAATCACCAATGATATCAAAAAGATGATAAGTCTGCAGTAGTGAAAACAGAAGTACGTTAATGTTCTTCAAATTTCTACTTTAGGTACTGGATGGGGCTGCACCTGTGTTTCAGCCCTTGAAATAACTGTGCATAATTATGAAGAAATTAGCTTGAGCCTGTGCCAGAATTGGTCTGTTGTTTTAGAGAGTTTCAGATTGAGATTCGCATGGTTTGTGGTGTTATTGTGCTCTAGAGGCTGTTCTGTGCTTTTAGAGTAGATATTTGGAGAAAAATTCCTGGTTGGGGTAGGAGGGATTGGGAGTTTTAAGGGATTCATGGTAGTACGCAATTTTGAGTAGGTTTGGTGAAAATCTTTGAAAATTAAAAGGAGTAAATAAATTTGTCCTGATTTTTTTTTTAAATATAATTCTTCACCCATCTTGTTCAATACATTCTTTCCTAGTCGGGGTTTTGGGGTTTTGGGGTTTTGGGG